GCTTGTCGGCTATCAATCAAACCTTCGGATATTTTGAACCACTTTAAAAAAGTAAAATATTGAAGAGTTTTGTTCCAACCCACTACGTCCCTCTTAATTCTCAGTTTCGTATTTTCAACTTGTCCTTTCATCTCCTCACCATCAATTTCTCTGGACTTGTTGCGCTAACTGCCTTTCTCCCATGAGCTAGGACAAATCTGTATATTGGTCTGCACTGTACTACAGTCATTCCCTTATTGACTGGGTTGGTACTACGGAAACTTCCTAAAGCCAAACATCGCCAAGATGTTGTGAATTTCGTAATTTTTTCGCAATTGGTACAATCCATGTTCATCTTCCTCCCGCATTTCTTCGGAACTAGGTATTGCTAATAATTAATGGCATATTTTCATCTGTTTTCGACGCACGTATATGCATCTACTTATCGTCTTGACCCATTTATTGTCTTGACCTCACTTATTGCCTTGACCCATTAATCATAAACAATCAATCCATTTATGATATTTTGTTTATAATGGTATTTCATGTGCAATCGTTTGATTCTGCCCACACACAAACACATACAAACAACCCTACTCATATTACAGTCTAAAGGGTAATAATATATTGCAGTTACACAATTAATTAAAAAAATCATTTGATAACCTAAATTTAAGTAGACGAAACGAGCGTCAGGATCGCCAGTAGCTGATCACAAGATGATGCAACATGGGTCAAAGCAAGTTTCAGCTGCAAAAGTGAAGAATCACGATTTGAAATGTAGCTGAGAAAAGTTAACAAAGCGAAATTGCATATCTATTTCAAGTGTTACATTTCAAATATCAGTTCATAAATGGCTCACCTATGCCTGCTTCAATAACTGTGCTTTTATATGCATTTTCTTTTAATTCGAAATCGATTTTGCAGATCCGAAATTCGATCCAACAGCACCACTGGCGGCAATCAGGAATTGGGTGGATTATTTCTTTGGTTGTAGGCACTGCCGAGGCCATTTTCTGAATATGACAACGCGAACGTTCCGCATGGAAAGTCATGTAAGTGAAGCAATTTTGGCTTTTTGTCAAGCAGGTACCACAGAGCAGAGTTCCGTAGTGAAGTACCCATTGGCCAGGTAATTAGAGAAACCAATACTTTTCGGTCACTAGGTGGTCATTATACCGGAAAATCCACCTGGTTTATATTTTTTCATTTATATATATTTTCATTTTTCATGAGCTTTCTTTTTTTAATCGGCGAGATACTTGAACTAATCAGTCTATGATTCGTTCATTCGTTTTAATGGTAAATTAGCTACCAACATATGCCAGATTTTCGAATATGTCAATTTGAAGGATGAAAAAAAAGGGAAAAAATACAATTGATATTTACACGAGACACGAGGGATAACGGACAAAATTCTTTACTTTTAGCAGAACGATAAGCTGAGCTGGCCGCTCAACGCAGAATAACAAAAAACGATCAGTCACGAGCTTCTTCCCTGATTCGAGTAAAAACCCGCCAATTGTTCATCCCTTCACCCCCTTGTGTCAACGATAGCCTAACAATTACTATTAATAAGATAACGTTGAACTTAGAGGATTGGGGTGGCTGTCAAAGGTCAACAAAAGGTCAGCGATAGCTACTGCTACAAACAACAACAAATGCGTGCAGCAATAGGCAATTACTAAAACTCGGCTCGGCTCGGCACGGCTCGGCTCGGCTCGGCCGGTGTCTTACACGATCAGCCAAAAATTTTTTGTATGGAGGACGGATAGTGTTGCCCGTTGAGCCCT